TATCTGGCGGCTGAATCTAGATGAAAACGCGGCGTCTGTGTGCAGATGCGGCCGAAATTTTCCGCGGCGGTGGTCGGGCCGGGGCGCTGCTGTCCGATAAACGGATCGCAGCGCGACGCGACGCGACGCGGTGCGGGCTTTTACGCTCCATCTGGACCCAAAGAGCCCCCACCACCATATTGGATGAACCACATCAGCCCCCACCCGTTCAGCTATCTCTACTATCTGGGCCCTTCATTATCCAAAAAGGGCGCAGATGGCTACAATGCCCAGTATTTGTAACGCAGTTTGCTTGCCACAGCGCGGCGACATTTATTGTCTGTTGTGCCCGATAAAAGACCACAGAACTTATTTGTTTCAAATCCAATAGAGTAATGGCTCCTATCAGTAAATACAACTACAGCAATTAGAACAAATGCTAATGTGCATGTCTGATTTTGCCAGTGAAACTTAGAGATGTGATAATTGGCTCAACAAGTGCCAAGTTTTCAGCAATACGGCACCATGTCCAGACATGGTTGGGTTGATCTTTGTAAAATGCATGCTTGTTGTGGCTTATTACCTCTAAAAACATACACTTAGGTTCTAGACGTGATTCTATCTATCCAATAGTTTTTTGTTAGGTCTGGCAGGATGAGGTCTTTTTTTTTGCTTTTCCAGCAAAATTCAGTTACACTGTCCTTTACTGGTTTTCCTTACCTACTAAATGAAGTATCGTTATATTGAACAGTCCTGTTTTCCTAGTATCACGTCTCCTCTGTATTTTATAAATTCGCTTGTCCAGTTGTCCCGTTTCTTTTCTCCATAGCATCTTGCCGGCCGGCCGCCGCCTGCCTCGGCGATTGTATGCTGTGCCGCAGTGCACCTGTACTGTGCGGGCTAGCCTAACCGGACCATTTGAGGCCTGACGCCCGCGCCGGCCAAACCTGATGAGTTGGAGAGAAGTGAGCTATCTTATTTAGGTGAGGACTTCGTTTACAACTGGTTTACCAGTTTGCTGTGTTTATAATAAGTGCGTTCAGGGCAGTGAGTGGGTCATCTGGGTCCTACCATCAGTCCCGGCAACAGAACCAGGGCTTAACTGTCCCGGAGCTGTGAACAACTGGTTTACCAGTTTGCTGTGTTTATAATCAGTGCGTTCAGGGCAATGACTGGGTCATCTGGGTCCTACCATCAGTCCCGGCAACAGAGCCAGGGCTGAACTGTCCCGGAGCTGTGAACGGATCCGTGTTCTCCTCAGTACGATACATGAATCTTCTAGAGCTCTGCATTCCGCCGGTGCACGGGTCCCACGCCTCTGCAGTAGGGGTGTCGGACGGGTCTTCTAATTATGTTATTTCGGGCAGTGGACGGGCACTCTAGCTCCGTTGTCCGGACGGAGGGCGGGTTCTTTGACTCCGCTGTCCGGGACGGAGGGCGGGTCCTCTCATGGCTCTGCTATCTGGGACAGGCAGTGGAGGGGTCTCCTGGCCCTGCTGTCCAGGCGGTGGACAGGTTCTCTAGCTCCGCTGTCCAGAGCGGTGGACAGTCCCCCTGGCTCTGCTGTCCGGTTCGGTGGACAGGTCCCTGACACCGCTGTCCGGAGGGATGGACGGGTACTCTGGCCGACCATCTGTTACCACCTCGGCCGTCAATGCGGCATCACGCGCTTCGGTGGGCCGCCAATACAGCATCACGCCCGAGCCGCGACTGTTTGCTAATCTGCCATCAGTCAACGCGGCGCCGGCCGGTGTCGGGGTCTGATTGGAAGCGGGGGAGCGGCCGGTGGCAGCGGTAACGGTCACTTCGCCCCTCTGCCAGCACAGCTGTCCTGATAGCGACACACTGCAGGGCATGGCCAACAGCCGGCGTGGCGTGGACGACTTATTTGCATGGCATGCAACTTTATCGTAGTCTATTTCGTATGCAATGGTGTAATCAGGCATTGAATCGTAATTAAGAATCGGAGCTCTAGAGCAGCTCAGCCTTCTTACTTTCAAACTTATTCATTGTTTGCTACATTCACTGTGCTAAGAAAGTTGAGTGCCACCTCAGAGCATCGGTGTTTTTATTATCTTTTTAAGAAGCTTTGATATACATACGATACATTCAATATTTATCGACGAGCTGCAATGTCGCGAGCCATCAGACACAAATAGGGGCATCTCCTTATGATTTTCTCCCCACTGAGAGACATCCCCGAGCGGTGTCCGCTGACAGAGAGACATCCCCATACGGTGTCCCCGCTAACAGAGGACCATCTCCAACAGAATGGCTGCCAGCCGAGGGGCGTGTGACGTAAACTGGGCACCACGCCGGGGCCAATACCAGCAGTCGTCTCAGCCCTGAGGGTGGCTGAATCTGGAACTGAGCCCAAACCTAGAGGATACTGACGTCCACAGCGGGTCGCGCTGCCAGCCCCGGCGAGTCAGAAGACAGAGACAGGACCATTATTTTCAGAAAACAACATAAAGATAGCCTTTTATGCAAACATGAAACATATGTTCTTTTTTATTGGGTGGAACGCTTCGGCACTCAAAAACTGAGGTGCGGAGTTTTGCACTCAAGTTTGCGCCGCATGTCCTCTATTGCTGTTCGTTTATGTGTGTTGCGTTCCTCTGGCCAGGACCGGCCATGGGATATTCATGGTTCTGGGAGAAGGAAACGATATGTGACAATGGCGAACGAACTAGGATAAAATAAAAAAAAATGTTGCCATTAGCTATGTGTTGGCATTTAGAAGGTATTTTATTCCAACTCAACCAAAACCTTCTTCAGAGACATTCCCTTTGCCACAGCGCCAGGTATCACCACGCCGTTCCCCTGCGTCCTACCACGATCTGTTTCGCCCTTTCGATGGTGCCGCCGGTGTACTCTGAGCGGTGGCGGGGCGCGCGGCTCCGATCGTGCCCGAGTCCCGCTCTCTCGGCCGCTCCCGCCGACCGCCGGCGGCGCCGACGGCTGTCGCGGTGGCACCGATTGCCTTTATTAAGCATATGACGGGGTAATGGAGGGGAGACGAAAGGGTAGTCAAGTAGTTGTCAAGCGCGCCGGGACATATCTGCCGCCTCATTTAGCGTCAGATCCGGACCATTGTGCTGGCGGCGGCGGCGCTGGCGGGCGGGTTCGGAGCGGTCGGCGCGGCGGCGGCGGCGGCTCGTTAGGACGGCCGGCCTCGTGGGCACTGCCGGCTAAACAAATACACCGAGCTCTGATTTACTGGCACGCAGCTGGAATAGATGGCAGATATGCGATCCGGCGGCCTGCCGCCAGGTCGCCATTAAGGCCGATCCCAGACTGAAATGGGAACGCCACACAATGCAAATCCATTCATAATGAGCGGCGACGTTTGTTTCGTAGCTGTAGCTACAAGCTGAAGACGGACATAATAGGACGAGGGACAACGCATTGTTCTTCTCTGCATAATGTTGCCGGTAAAGCCCGACAGCCGCTGACGAGGCTTCGAGCGTTTTAGCAAAGCAATCCATTTGATTTATGCCTGAAAGCACGCACATCGGCCGATGTAACTCCCCTTCTGCAGTGCCGTTCGACGGCGTTTTATCTGAAAGAGTCTTATAAGAGACGCCAAATTATATCGTCGGCGCCGACAGTGTTTATTTTTCTGACGTTATTGCTCGCGGTGCGTCCGCCGTCGGATCAACCGCCATCTTGCTTATGAATTTTACATGAGCACGACAGACTATATTGAAGTATCGAGAAGTACTGATTTAATTCGATCTCATTTATCATCCGTCTCCTTTTATCTTAGAAATAATTGAGTCGGAAGACAAAAGTGGTCGTCCCGCCCGTCGGCGCCGATACGTCGTTGTCGACGACAAAATCAGGCCGTCTTTGTGGTCGGTGTAATTTGTGGTCGGTGCCGGATTAAAAAGAACATTTCATCTATCTACATATATGAGGTCGAAAATTGAGAGCCTGGCTGTCACATGCTATTCTGGAAATACAAAATTGCACAGGGCAAAGTTAAAAAATACAGAGCTCTAAGGTGTAACCTATGGAATAGGTACCGTGCTTTTGTTTGGGTTAAAATGTGCATCATTTTTTTCACAAAAAAAAATATTTCATTGTGTTTTAAATAACTTATCGCAAATGGTAGTAGCCAATTCAGCCTCATACAAGCGTCATCAATGTAATAATACGCTAGTGTCTGTCCATTGATTAGTACTACATTTTGTACAAAAAAGTGTAGTACTATTTGAATTTACTGTAGTACTATTTGAGTAGTACGGTTTGAATAAGCTGTGTATAGCACTTGTGTTTCTCGACAACACAAAACAGACACCAACATTCCGTGTCAGCCAATCACGTTGTTCCGCGGCCATGCATTCCCATCGCTGGGCTGCACGAGTATAACACTCGATGCAAAGCGATTCCATCGCATGAAAACGGCTCACATAAGTTAGAGGGCACTGAGCCAGCCCTAATGGAGACCGAGACACATGCTGTGATCTTATCTGGCGGCCATGGAAACAGCTTTGTACTGTTTAATCTTGGACAATTGATTGACCCGTAACCCAATCTGCCCAGTCTCTGGCAAAGATTAATTGGCATCCAATAGCGAAAACTGATTCACGCCCGTATTTTCGCCATTCTACTATATCAATGCCTGAGAGACATCAGTGCCGCGTGACAGGTGCAAAATGCCGGGCTATTTTGTTATTGGAAATCAGATAGGCTGCATGGCCATTACAGCTGTGTATAGCTGCAGTTCAGCCGAATCATGGAATGTCATGCATCATGTCTGCCCTTAAAGTAATCAAAAGGCAAGCCATAATCGTCAAATGTTTGACCGGACAGTTTCATGTTACCTTTCTGTACCTTGCAGTCTAAATAAGATGCCCTTTTTAGTTGATTGTTTCTTATTACCCGCAATTCCATTCATATCACGTCCGTAATGAATGCGCAATAACTCTTCTGCCTGTTACGCTAGTTGCTGGCGGCCGGCCCAGTTGCGTGTTTCACTGGTTACCACCCAGCCCGTGTGCCGTTCCGCAGCTGCGGCGTCCCGCAGGGAGCCTAGTGGCCTGACACCGTTGTCACCCTGGTGTCACTGCGCCCTCCGCCGCCCTCCGCCGCCCGCTGCTGGCTGTTTAGCATGCTGCTCCCTCCCAGCTCCGGTGCAGCCGCCGTCTCACACATCAGCCGGCTGTCTCACCCGCATCTGTGGCACCGGGCGACCTGCCGCGACCCCACAGGTGTGCCCAACTCAGGTGAGCTGCGCTCCCTGCCCCCTGTCCCTCCCACAGCGCGGGGTCATCGCGGTCAACTCCGCCCAGCTTAAAAATGGCCGCCGTGAAACCAAAACGACCGCCGGGACGGAAAGAGCAGTCGTCACCGGTACGTTCTCTTTTCCCACATTTTTACCGCGACCGCAAATACTCATCAAATTGTATCTGATTTGCATGCACAATGGCAGATGTGTGCCGATTAGCCGGATGATCGCCGGGTGGCTGCGGCTAACAAGCTGCGATACGGTCCGCGCCGCGCCGGCCCGCGTGTCGCTCCCGCGACTGTGCGTCCCTGTATCAGCGCACCGATCGCGATGACATGCAAATCGGCAGGCATCATGCAAATGTCATCGTTACTGGCTTCCGCCGACAGTCGAGTGACCGGCCAGTTCCGGCGACGGTCTCCCGTCGTCAGGTATTTCCCATCCCTTTTCTTCCCTTCCCCGTCTATAGAGTCATGACCCTTGTTGTGTTCACTCGTGGTGTCGGGTTCTTTTTATTCTATCGTAGCCTGAAGCTAACCTTTTCCGCTGTTTATTTCTCCTTTCAGCGCCTGTCACCGGTGTTTTGTTTCCCTTGTGCGATCTTTCCGCATTCACCCTGCCATATCTGCCCTCCTGTCTCCCTTCGTCACCCTTCTCCGTCGGCCCATCGTAGCCCTCTTCTTCCGCCCCCGCTCCGCTCTCCCTCCGTTCATCGGCGTCGACGGTGCACCGGGTCGGCCGGCCGCCGATCCGTCTCAATGTTCTGCCGGGCGGCGCTCATCACCATCCGTTTTCCGGCCATCATTTCATTAGTGTTCGGTAATCGGGCGGGCGGCCGCCGGCCGCAATCACAGTGGACAATGGCCACCAGCGCGGCTGCCAGCCTCCCCCTGGTCCGGCCCTGATGAGCCCGCCGCGACGGGGGCGCGACAGGCGGCGCCGGTCCCGCCCGAGCGGACCCGGCTCGCTGTCACCGCAGAGCTGCGAGCTGCCAGCACCGGGTGCGTCACAGTCCGCCCGCGCACTCGGAGAACTGCAATCAGCACCAGTTGACCGTCCCGACCGCCGGCCACCCAGCCAGTCAACAATTATTACCGCGTCGCCGGCTCGTGCAAATACGGCCGGCACGAGCTAGATTTATCGCGGAGACGGCACTAAATCTGGCGGTGTCCCGCGCCGTGTAAACGGATAGGGGAACTTCAATCAGCGTCGACGGCTTAGCGCCGCCACCGGCCGCCGGCGAAGCCGAGACTGGTGGGAACGGTCAGAGGTGTGACGGCCGGCGCTCTCGGGGCGCCTCCAATTACCCTCTCAGACCGGCCGGGTCGGCGGATCGGCGCCCTCCGCACCCGCCGCTGGTCCCCAGTACTTTCCGCCGGGGTTATTTCACCCTCCAAGCGGCGGTTTCTCTGTGCGTTCGAGTGTCTCCCCTCGGCACGGTCGCTTTCTCATTTCCTCGGCATTATCCCCTTATTCATCAACCCTTTCTTTGCTTGCCTCATTTACATGCCACCCTCCTCCGCTATTATCTTTGCCAAAATATTAGCCGAGACGCTGGCGCGTGCTCTCTTCTCTTGGCGTGCTAATTTGTTGTCCCGCCTGCCACACACAGGTAATTAACAGCTGCAGATTTAGCCAGATTGGTGGCGTGGTGACCCAAGTGTTTGCGGTGGTGCCCATCTCGAGAGAGCACGCGCGCACTGAAAGCTGCTCCAGCTCACCCGAAATCGCGTGCTTCGGGCGTGAACTGAAAATGTGGACCGGTTAAGGACATTGGGCGATATTTGTATGAACACTGAATATATGACATGTAATGATACATTCTGACCTATTCTTAGCATATTTTGTCCAGCATTATTGCCTATTGATTAAAATTTGTATTGCTTAATTATTTATTTTAGCGCTACTGTAAAAGACAGTGTATACCTAGTGTAGTAAAAGACAGACAAGACTCGAACAATAAATGGTCAATCCAAATAAAACATTTCGGCTGTTTTTAGAAACTCTTGACTCAAAAGAAGTCAGACAAGCAATTTCATAACTTCGGTGAAAAATTAAGCGGTCTCTGCTTTTGACAAACTGTCTGAAATATCAGCTTTTCGAGTTTGATCAAGAAGAAATCTTAATTTGAATCACAAATGAGGCGAACTTTTTATCAGCCTGTCTTCACGTGTTTGCGAAGTTCGGGTCTGAGCTGTGCTAACAACAGCGGAGCTGTTTCTTCTGGCCCTGGCGTCTCTCCTCATCCTGCTAAGAGCAAGTGAAACCAGCAAGCTGAAAATTTCACTCGAACAGTTTCGTGCTACCAAAGTGACAATTGTTGCCGGATGACAAATATTCCTTCATTCATTATATATATCCTTATGCAGTCACTGTTTCTCTTGCAAAATATAAATTGTAGACTGAAACAGTCTGTTCACTTATAATCAAGAAAAGTAACAGTGCTATCATAATAGGTAATAAAAAGGTCGTAAAAACCTGATAATTCCGAGAAGGTTTCGGCTCACGCCTTCTTCAACTCGCGCAACTGAGCGCGAGCTGAAGAAGGCTAATCCGAAAGCTCCTCATAATTATCAGGCCTTTTCTCTTGCTATGTTTAATATTAATCATGAGAGTACGGTTACTTTACCTGATTATACATATGTTTAACATGTCTCTCAAAACAGTGCTAACAACAAGTCTGTTCACTTGTTTCGTCAGCACAGTACTTATGTATGTCAAAATAGTCGGAGTAACCATATTATTGCTGGTGACGCCTTATTCTATGACTACCGCTTCAACAAAGTCAAGAGCACGCATTTTAAGGAATCGTTGCACGGCTTTCAAGGAGCTGCATAGTGCACGCCACTGCACATGTTCCTGTAATTAGCATTTTACCTGTGCGTTAGGACTAGTTAGATACATGTACGGAACGAAACATCTGCACATTCAAACGATCTGCAGACTGCAACAGCTGCTGTCATCAGCTTTCCTGCATATACAGTTAACCAATGTATCCAGCGATGTCCCCAGCTTCCACAGCCAGAGCGCCGCAACACCTCCGGTTGTTGGGGCTTCAGCGTCATCCTCGATAACTGACGTTTGGAATGTATCATGCCTGGGCAGATCGTCACTGATCTTTTACTCACTAAATTGATGGCTTGTAAGAATTTGCGTACACAACGTTGTTAATGATCATGCCATAATTTGGTATTTGCAAGCCAATCGCCAGATATTGAGTATTGTGTAAAAACCTATGTTGAAGGGAGGGCATACTAAAAACGAACTGTCTCTTTCCATGGAAACATTCAGCTATTCGTCATGTGGTCGATGGCAAAAGGCTCATGTTCCTTGTTCAGCCTCAGTTCAATTCTGCAGTTGATTTCAGCTCCACTGACTGTATGTCTATTGCCCTGATTCATGATGTGCTGTATGTCTCGGCGGTGCTTTCGCCGCAGCCATGTGCTCTATATTTTCTATGCCGTCGCACATTATTGTCACAAGCACCCATGACGTCATTGTCCATAGTTGGTCATTTCACTGACCACCGGTGTTGTTTGGGGGCAGACTGATAGATAGATTGACTTCTTGTGCCATTATTTCTGTATCTAATGGCCGCTGGGTCGTTGCATTATACTGATGGGCGGTCACTTATTCGGTGGCCGGCCGCGCGTGCTGGCAAACATGATGGATAGTGGTCCAGTGACGTCATATATTGGCCACCGGACGGAAACGGGCGCCCAGCTCCGGACAGATTGGGCAGCTAGTGACGGAGAGGGCCGCAGGACGAAAATCTCCAGACAACTCCCGGTGATGGGACGCTGTAATGACAACTCACGCGGGGTTGGACATCAACAGTCTTACTACATCTTACAACAGTCTTACTGTATAAATATTTTGGTAATGTTCTTGTAGTTGTAATAATATTTCGCTTCACGAGTAAGGAATTATTAATGTTTGCTGATGGAACGCGAGCCTTTACATACGGTTGAACGATACAAACATTTGAACGTCGCACCAACCCTTGTCTTGCAATCAATGATATCTCAGGAACTTACGGTCATTTCCCAGCAGAACCCTAAAGACCTGGCTACACTGTGGGTTTTCTGCGTGCTTTTTTTGCGAGTTTGCGTGTTTTGCGTAATATCATTCTAGGAAGAAGAGGTATAGTTGATATAACTGTTATATTATCCCTCGCCCTGGCAGGGCATTTTTCATAACACGGCCTGGCAGGGGGGGGTCGATGCGACCCCCCCCTCGCGATTGGCTCCTATGGCACCTAGAAACACCAAATTTGGTAGGTAGGTGGGCCCCCTGGAGTTCTCGCCCCTGTGCAAATTTGGTTGCTCTAGGTCAATATTTAGGGGGGTTTTGGGGGGTATAAATGTAAAAAATTCGCTAAAAACAGGTCAAAAGTTTTTCATTATAACTTTTGATCTAATTAAGATAGAGCAAAAAGAAAAGCACCAGTGAACTCAGCACGTCAAGGCGCGTCGAATGATATACTTTTTAGCTTGTTTAAGTGTACTTAAAGTTTTTCTTAAATTTTTAAGTAAACTTAAATTTATAAATTAAGTTCAAGTTAACCAAATTGCGTCATATCGTATATCATTCGATTCGGCTGATCACCAGGAACACAATGATACCATTTTTAAAGCTCTAGCGTCATTATGTGCCAAGTTATTGACAAAAACGTCATTTGACCTCAGTTGACCTCATTTGACCTGACCCATGAATAAGTACACCAAACAAAGAAGCACCAAGTGACCTGCTGTTAAGTAATGTGATTTCAAAGCACAAAAATGATAGAACGAAGCGGATAACTCCAGTATTTTCCGAATTTAGTATTTTCCCATAGGCTTAACATTACGACGTAATGACCTCTAACTGACCTCAGGTCAGTGACCTCAAAAAAACCCGAACTATATGTTATACAACTCGGTGAACTTAGCACATCCTGAAAGTTTGAAGGAAATCAGTCCAAAACTGTGAGTTGGACAGGTGCAAAAAGAAAATTGA